TTTTTTATTTATAATAAATCAACTAATGATCTTCTTCCGTTTCCGTTGCTGATGAAGATGATGACGATGACAACGACAACGTCGTCGTAATTGCAGTTGCAGTTGCAGTTGTTGTTGTTTCTGCTGTTGTTGTTGTTGTTGTTGTTGTCGTCATCATAGTTGTTGATGGTGTCATAGTGATCGTCGTCGTAGTTGTCGTCATCATAGTAATTGATTCTTTTCGGCCAGCTTCAGTAGCATCGATAACTTCAAAACCTTCGGACGTTGATGTGTCCGTTGACGAAAAACCATCAGCAGTTTCGTTTAATCCAATTTCTTGAGATGCTGACATTTCCCCGAGAGTTGTTTCCTCGTTCGTTTCATCGATCCTCGGTCTGTCATCTAAACGTATTGCTGAATGATATAAATAGAAAACAAAAAAAAGTATTTCGGTTAAAATACATCATCCAAATCCTTGATTCGTTGTTTTTCGAATGTGATATATTTCTTTTTTATATATATATATATTTTTTTTCTCTCTCTCTCTCTCTTTCTCGTCTGATCAAAAATTAGAATATAGGAAAATTGTTTGTTATATATTTTCTCCAAATCTTTTCTTTTTTATGTGTCCGTGTGATTATTAATAAAAACTAAAAAAAAAAAAAAGAAGAGAAAAAAAAATGTCAATCGCATATTGTAACACCACGCGACAAATATGTTTATTATTCGTCGCTCATTTTTCAATCTATATCAATTATATTTAAAACAAACACGATGGAAAAGAAAAATAGAAAAAAAAGAAAAAAAGAAAAAAAAAAGAAAAATAGAAAACCATCGATGAAGTGTGTAACACGCATTGTATTAAATATCGACTCTTTTAATGGTTATAAAAGAATAGAGAAAATAAAAAAAAAAAAATAAAAATAAAAAATGTAGGACTCCCAGAGAGCGTTTAGGTGGATTGAAAAGTTTCTAGCTTATCGTAGAAACAATTTGTTTCTTTTTTTTTTTTTTCGGTTCGTTCCAAAAATTGACTTTTATTGAAAAACAAAAAGAAAATAATAAAAAAAAAAAAAGGAAAGCTTTTTATTTCAGAGTTAAAGTTGAAAAACTTTTCAACTCACCCCCACATCCCAGCCCCCACCACCCTTTGTATAGTCGAATCAACGCAACAAACAACAACAAAAATAATTTAAGTTAATAGATAACCGTGCGAATGAACAAAACAACAAAATGATTTGTTTCATGCAAGAATATATTTTAACTGGGGGTGGAGGGGGGAGGGGGGGAGAAACATTTAACGTGGGATAGTTAAAAGAAAGAAAGAAAGAAAAAAAAAAAAAAGAGTATAATAATTCTAAATTGGTTGGGACCATAAATTTATTTAGGAAGTAAACTGAACGAGCCTAAACAAAGCTTACTCTCTCTCTCTCTCTCTTTTTCTGGGTTGGTCATACCTACCTACCTACCTACCTTTCTACCTACAGGGTGTTAGTGGTTAAGCCGGTTATCGATCGTCCAGATGGTTCGCGGTTGTGAAAACCGGAGGTGAAATTATAAAGTCAGAAAGTAATAGTAGTTAGTTGGATAAAAATAGGATAAACTAGTAGTAAATATTCTGGATATAGTGTGTACCAAATCGTGTGTTTAATAGGAATTACTATTACGATATGGTTTTGGTGACATAGGATTCTATAGAAATAAAAGTACAGATTCGAAACCTTTTGAGAACAAGAGAAGTAGAATACGAAGTAGATCGATGTAACTGAGTAATACTCTGGTACGAATGATCGTTATAAAGAAAAAAAAAAAGATTGAAAAAAAGAAGCATGATTTGATGAACAGAAAAAAAAAAGAAAAGAGAGAGAGAGAGAGAAGAAGAACAAAAAAAAAAAAATAGAACGTTCCGATAAAAGTACGTAACGCGATGTACCTCCCACTATTTTTCTTTTTTTTTTTTTTTTTTTTTTTTT